TCCATCCTGTCTCGGGCTGGTCCTGAGGTTTTTCTGCTTCTCATCTGTTTCTTTCTACAATTTCTATCACAGTGACCCTTTTTCCCCACGGTAAAAATGATCTAAGGGTTTGCTTTTGTCTGCTATGGACTCAAGCGCAGGTGTTAGCGCAAGTCTTAGGGTCCCAGGTACTCAGTTTCTTTTCTTTCTTGTTCTTATCCCTTTCAAAAATGCACACAGCTACGGCTTTGTGCTCACTAGTATTTCCTCTCGTGACACGCAAGGCAATTATTCATGAAAAATCCTCTGATTTCTGAGGACGCCTGATTTACAAAAGCTGTATTAATGATTTTGGTCTCCTTAAGGTTAATAGGGAGAAGTCTTAGTCCTTTTAGCTCCTTTGCAGAAATAGTCATAGAACTGGTTCAGATCTCTTTCTTTTCTCGCCTAATTTCCTAAAGCAGATAGACAAACACAGAACAAAGTGAAACATTCAACTATTTTCCTTTTTGGTGAATTTAGTTTCTAATCAATTTTATATCTTAGATTCTTATCTTTAAGATTTTCTTTTCCCGTTTGAAAGCCAAAAGAAAAGGCATAAGTACATTACAGTCAAATCACAGCTTTAGAATCTCCAATCACAAATTTAGTCTCAAATTATTTATTATCTATCTTTTATCTCTATAACTTTCAATGTGGCCAGCATTGGAAATAGAGAGAGAAAAGAGCTACTTGTCTTCTAGGAAGACTTTTTTTGAAAATCCTCTTTTTTTTTTTTATAACTTGTTTTTTTTCGGTTGATCAATCAAAAAGAAAGGGCAGAAGTGAAACATTTGTTGTCTATGGCTTAGCATAAAATACGGAGAGCACAAAACAGACACACAAGTGGGCCCTTTAAGGAGCAACAAACATGTCCTATTTTTAATTTCTGAAAAAAGAGAAGTTACAGAAGTTACAGTTGCCTGGTTTCTGATGCTACAAAATCTTTCTCCATACACTTTTAACTTTCTCTTTAAGTGGAAACCAGAGAGAGATTGAGATGAAAAATTTAGCAAAAGAAATGGAAAAGAAAAACAGGGTCTTCCTAAGGTCAGAGGCATACCTCAGCAGCAGAGAGAAAGGAATTAGCTAGGAAGAGGAGCCCAGGTCCAGGGTCCCCCGGAGAAGGAACCAGGTCTGCAGTTCCCGGAGCATTCACCGGAGGGTCCTAGGAGCTGGAGTCCAATCCTCAGTTTCATCCAGCCTGTCTGCAAGTGCCAATTTTAAATTAAGAATCAAAAAAAGAAACTGGGAAGCCTTTCTGGGCAAAGAAACCAACCTTTATTAAGAGAAACAAAGGTGGGGTCTACAGCCTGCCCAGTATGGTCTGAGACCCCGAGATAGAAAATTCACAGTTATTTGTAGTTTTCTTGATTCATGAATAGTGAAAAAAAAAGCTTGCTACTGCACAAATCAGTTTCCTTTCACTCAAGCAGCTTTTGAGAAAATCAAGATGCTTTTTCATCAGAAGCTCAAGGCAAACAACTACATTTTAATATAAAACTTAATGATTATGGTCACATACTGAAGGTACACACTTTGTAATGACTTAGTTCAACTCCTAAGGTTAATTAACACAGGAATATCCCTGGGACTACATCATAGTTTGGTTGCACACAGGTTTTTTACCTGGGACTATGTTCTTACTATAAATCACAGTTATTTCTTATCCTAATAATCATAGCGGATAAAAGATTAGCAAGGCAAGACAGAGCAAAGCTCTCAAGGCATTGATCATTGATCTTTTTCCTTTCACTTATCACATCCTACTTTAAATTATGGTCATTTTTTGGACACATCTGCTCTCTCCCCTACTAGATGGGAAACTCCCCGAGGGTAAGAGTCACTTGGTCTTAATCTCTGCACCCTACACAGTTCCTAAGACCTAATGGGTTGGGTGCTCAGTAGGTGTTTTCTGATTTTGAATCTTGATTGGGCATTGTAATCTTCTTTAATGGTGATACCCAGGTCTTAGACTTCAAAACTCCCTCCCAGCATCTAACCAATAGGAGGCCCTAGGTTAATATCTGGTGATTGACTGATGTCACCCTACTTGTCACCGTGGCAGGAATTATGGTGCATCATCATTGGGAAGAAAAAGAAACAGCACACAGGGAGTGCCCAGTACCTTCTAAGGGGCATTTCCTTGGGAGGCTCCCAGATTGCTTCAAACAGCCAAAGTGACTGGTTCCTAATGCATGAGGAGGTCTGCAGAAGAACTAAGTAATGAGGGCTAGAATGGCTATAGAACCTTAAGGTTAGCAAAGCATTTGACACGTCTCATTTGATACTCACAATAACCCGGTGAGGTAGGCACTATTATCAACCCCATTTTACAGATGAAGAAGCTGAAGAGGAAAGAGGTTAAATGAACTGACCGGGATCACATAGACAGTAAGCATCTGTGGCAAGATTTAAGCTAAGGTCTTCCTGACTCCGTATTAACTGTTCTATCTATGGCACTACCTAAGAAGCCTGGGGTATCCTGGGTCAAGCCAGGTATCAAGAAAGACTTCCTAACAATTAGAGCAGTCCAACCATGGGCTGGGTTGCCTCAGGAAGGAGTGAGACACCCCTCACTAGAGCTGGATTGAGAATGTTGAGTGTGTTAGTGGTACTCCTGGGATTTGGTCCTGGGTCTTTCTCCTGGTTTCCTCATGGTGGCAAGTGGGTTATTCACAGGTGTCTACGTCAGTTGGAGGCTGTGGCTTGTGCCGCTCCAAAGTTCTTGACTGGGATGTCCCCAAATCAGAAGAGTAAGTGATGATAAAAGCTGTGGTCAGATCCAGCCTAGGGGACTGGTGGGCAGCAGGAGCAGGGAGGCCCAATTATTACTGGAGCCTTGTAAAGAAAAGCCACTTCTTGTTCCCTCTCTCTTCCATCCCCGCTCCCTGGCTCGGTCTTATGTGACATCTGACATATCTCCTTAGCAGGCCAGAATGTCACCATGTTCAAAGAAGGCTTGTATTTGCAAATAGCTGAATTACACGCCAATAGTACAAAGGCTATATTGACTCGCTCCCATTCAAGCTGAACAGTATGGGGAGTCAGAGGATCCCAGCATCCCTGGGGTAGGCTAGAGAGCAAAGATCACCAGAAACACAGGATGAGTGAGTTGGAGAGTTTTGAGAGATCTGCTGCTGGCAGTCTGGAATTTCTGTCAGTGGGACTGCCATGACCCCGGGCAACCAAGCTTGGAGTCTTCCAGTTATCTGACTCCTTCCCATTCCTCACGCCCCATGGATGATCGACCATGGAATCCTAGCTTTTTGACTTCCACTGGTCTCTTCAATCCATTTTCCCGTTTCATTCTTGCTTTTAGTTAAGGTTCTTATTAGCCCCCATTCAGTTTACTGCAATAACCTTATAACTGGTCTTGTCATCTCAGCCTTTCCATGTTATGGTCTGAAGGGCAAGGCTGCCTGGGCTGAATAAAAGGACCAGAGTATGGCAAAAGGAGTGTAAACAAATGGTTTTTTTCTCGGAGGCTGGAGAGAAGGGTAGAGAAGGACCCAGACCCAGAAAGGGTAGAATAGAAGTCTTCACACAGATGGGCTCTCAGAGGAAGCCCAATCTCCAGTTTGGGCTAGGGCAGACTCTGTGTCTCCCTCTGGCCCTACAAGACCACCTGGTAGAGAGCTTGGGTAGAAGACCTTCTAATATCCATGGGGTGGTGGTGTCTGTCGTCTTCCAGATTCTTGGCTTGAGAAGACGAAGCTGTCCGTGCTTGAATCTGAGGAGGTGGATGAGAGGGAAGGGAGGATGTCCTCAAGGCTGGAAATGATCATGAACCCTTGAGGGACAGAAGCACAGGCTGAACATCTGGTGCTTACCAAAGGCTTCCATTCCATTTCATTGAAGAGGACCCCCTTAGAAGGCTCAACCTGAGATACTGTCTATCGCCTTGAGGAGTGGGAGCTGGGGGCCTTTCCTTTTCTGAGACTGGGTCTCCCTATCTTTCCCAACCTGGAAGTACAGCAGGCACTAGCAGGCTAAATCTGTACTGAGGAGAATGGAAGTTTTGCCTGCTTGTCTTTCCAACCTGGGTCAGCTCACCCTTCTCAGGCAGCTCCTGGGGGCTGTGAAACTCAGTGAGGTACCTAACATGAGGGCCTCCTACAGCTCAGAACCTCCAGACAAGTTATCCACCAGCCTCCCAAGCATCAGGGCCTGCCAGGGTGGACCACAAGGCCCGGTGTGGGGGGGGCCTTCCTGAGCTTTTACACATTTTCCCTCTCATCTTCCTCATGGAGCCACACGTCAGCCCTTGCCCATGGATCGGCTGGTGGTGGTCTTCATTTTACATCTATGAACCTTATCATCTAACTAGCCTGGGAGCTCCCGATGGAAGGGAGCAAGGTGGCCTAGCACCAGAGCTGGAGAACAGACTGGAAAGGAGAAAGCATTGAACTTGGGAGTCAGGAAACCTGAGTTTCAGTTTGGATTCTGACACTGACCAGCTGTGAGACCTTGGGCTAATTACATAACCTTTCTTTGACTCAGTTTCCTCAGCTGTAACAATACAATATAAATGTAAACATGTAAAAATGAATAATAATAATAATGATGATGATTATGATAGCTAAGATTTATGTAGCACGTTGGAGTTTGTGAAGCACTTTCAATTTTCTCTCATTCGACCCTCACAACAACTCTGTGAAGTGTACATGTTGTTATCATCCCCATTTTATAGATGAGGAAACTGAGGCTGGGAGAAATTAAGGAACTTGCCCAGGGTCACACAGCTACTAAGAACCTGAGGCAGGCAAGACCTGAACTCAGGTGTTCCTGACTCCCAAGTCCACCCGTGTGCCCACCTCATAGTGTAGTTGTGAGAGAAGCATTTGGCAAACCTCAAAGTGCTCCACTAATGTATTATTATTATTATTACTGCCTGATGACTGAGGTCCCTGGACTCAGAAAGGACCTTCGGACATTGCAAGAGAGAACGTTAGCCAAACAACACCCTCCTCCTCTCTCACCTTGCCTACTTAGTTCAGGGCGAGTGCTGCTGTTGGCCTCTGCTGCAGAGTGTGTTTCAGAACCCGGGGCTGGGTTCACCAGGCTGGGGGAGGCATCCGTCTTGGTGGGTTGGTTCGCTCCTGAGGTGCTGGCCTCGGGTTGCTTAAAGATCTTATTCAACTTCTGTCTTTCACTTTCTCCATATTCCTTCTTGATCACCTTCCGCGAGTTTAATTTGTTGGGATGGGATGATTTTCTCTTCCTTGACTGGGCACTAGGAGACTGCCCCTGCTGGAGGTGGGGAAGAGAAAGCACAGAGACATGTTCTAGTCACTTGGATGGGCCCACAGAAGAGTAGGATGACGTGGGGGGTAAAGGGGAAGGGAAGAGGTGATGGGAAGCTTGGACTGGGGAGGCCTTCCCCATTTTGTTTTCCCTGTTCCAGAAATGGTGGGGTTTTTTATTTCCTTTCTATGATCCCAATCCTGCTCATTCTTACTTGTCTGGCTTCCTCCACAAAGCCTTCCCTAACCACCCCAGCCTTCAGGGATCTCTCCCTCCCCTAAAGTCCTATACCACTCGGAGGCACTGAATCCCACCCTCTGTCACCCTCTTCTCTCTTCTATATCAATTTCAGACTTGTCCCTCCACATCAGGCTACAAGCTGCTCCCTACAAGGTCATGGCCTACGTCATCCTCTCCTTCCTGTATGCTCCTGTGCTGGGCACATTCTTGGTACTTAATCAACACTCCCTGTGTCCTGTCCCAGCTCCTCCCCTCATCACCCAGGGAGGGTCACAGGAGCAGGAATCCTACAGCTTAGTCCAAACTCCACTCTGAAGCCACAGGTTTATCCCCACAAGGTGCTGGCCTTCCGTGGCTAAGCTTACATTACACCAAGCAACTCTTGGCCCCAGGACAGATCCCTAGTGGACATGCTGAAGACACTGTCAGCTCGGCCAAGCTCCCAGTGGGCTGAGTGGGTTCAGGGGAGAGCTGGGGGCTTTTCAACGGGGGACAGATGATTGGCTGGGTTAAAGTCACATTCTGATCTCCCTGCCCATAAATACTCAGGCCTTCCTCCTCTTCCCACTGATCCACAGTCCTAACTGGACCTTAATATCCTCCTTCTTCTCTGGTCCCACAAACAGGCTACTACTTCCTTCTGTGGACCACACAGTTCAAGGACCTGAGGGGCAAAAGAAGAATATGGGAAGCAGGTTTTGGGAGTGGAAGGGGTTCTTATGGAGGGATGGACAAGAAGGCTTACTGTTTCAATCTTACTGTCTGTGACATGTCCCTGTTTCTGTAACTTCTTCTCATCTTGCTGCAAAATCAGGAGAAAAAAAGCAGACCACAGCTATGAAAAGGGCCTCGAGTTTGCACAGACCCTAACCTGGGCTCTGGATCCTTGTAGGGAGGCAGATGAGCTAAGGGAGAGTAGATAGCCTTGGGAATCAGAAAATAACATTTCTGTAGTGTTTTCCCCAAACCCTGTGGTGGAAACAGAGTACTGATTATTATGCCCATCTTACAGCAGAGAAAACTGATTCTCTGTGAAGTGAAATGACTTGTCTCTACTCAGACATCTGGTTATGGGGCTGTAGTGGGATTTGAACTCATCCAATTTCTCTTTTCTCATCCAATTTCACTCCTCTCTCCACCATGAGACACTACCTTGCTTCTCTCTACTGGGTCACATTCTTTTTTGGCCACATTATAGAGGATCTCCCTCCCTTGTCATCATATCTCTGGCTCATGGTGCAGCTCTGGATTTGGACTTGGGGGATGAGTTCAAATCTGGGCTCTGCCACTGACCAGCTGGGAGACCTGGGAAAAAGAGCTATAGCTTCCTCATGTGTAAAATGAGGGAGTTATACTCTCTGGACTTCCTCCCGGCCTCCCTGGCTTTCTTTAAGTCCCAACTAAAATCTCTCCTTCCATAGGAAGCCTTTCCCAGTTCCCTGAATTCTAGCACCTTGTCTCCATCGACTATTTCCCATTTTACCTCTTCTATAGTTTGTTTGTACTTAGTTTTTTTATTTTTTGCATGTTGTTTCCCCCATTAGATTGAGAGCTCCTCGAGGGCAGGGACTGATTTTTACCTTTCCGTATATTCTTAGCGCTTAACACAGTGTGTAGCATACAGTGGGGACTTAATAAATGCTTATTGACTGAGTAACATTTTCTGAATCTATAATTCATGCTGTGGCTATCAGACGGCTGAGTTCTACTCCCTGAAGACGGGAAGGAGGCGAGGTCTTTGTCCCTCCAGGTCAGATTTATTCAAGATCCCTCTTAGGCTTAGCTTCAGTGATTCTAATCTTATGATTTTGCCTTTGTCTAGAGTTTTTTTTCTGCTTTTCTCTGCTGCTCCCCCACAAAAAAACTCCCCCCCAATAACTATCCTCTGCAAACTGCTTGTGTATGGATGGTGTCTCTGTGTATGTATGGGTGTGTGTGTGTGGGTGTGTGTGGGTGTGTGTGTGTATGTGTGTGAGACACTGATGGTCCAGAAGGTTTAATTACTGCATGATAGTGTCTGAATCAGAGGATTACACAGTAATCAAACAAGCTAAGGCTGAAGCAGGATGGGAAGGACCACTGCAGGCAAGAGGCAAGCTACCATGTTTTCTACCAAGGCTGCAACAGAAAATCTCTAATGATGAATTATACAGAATTTTACTCTCTAATTGTTTAAGCTGCTTGGGTTCGTACTTGAGCCCACCTAGTCTGTCCTGAATATTACTGTTTTGCTTTTGTAAATTCCCTCCTTCCCATCCCTTTGCCCCTTTCCCTGCACCCCCAGCCTCCAAGCTCCAGCAAGTCAGGGGTCATCTTTCTTCTTCATGGCTGCCCTCCAGCATAATTTAGCAAGCAGTGAGCGTACGGGGGCCCCAAAAGAGACTTGTAGGTCAATGGATGGATGTTGAGCCACTATTTCTCCATGCAATTCAACTCAATTCAATTCACTCCATCCCAAATCCATAAGCATGCATTAAGCATATGCTACATATAAGACACTGAGCTAGATGCTGGAGACACAGATACATTACTTGCCCTCTCCTGATCCCTGAGGACAGGAAAAACCCAGCTAAGAGACCCTAATCTTTTGCGCCATTATAGGTGCACCTACAGATGGACCTAGCTTTAGCTAATGATGGAATGAAAAAAAACGCTCTACTTGGAGTCAGAAGATCTGGGTTTGAATCTGTGCCCTGCTACTTACTATCCATGTGACCTCACTTGACTGAATAAGCATTTATTAAGCACCTACTATGTTCCAGGCACTGTACTAAGCGCTGAAGGCCCCTCTGGTGGCATCCAGCTCTAAATCTGTGGCCTTTTCTCTCCCCTTATTTCTGACACACTGATCACGTTCGTCTTAGAAAGTCACTTGTAGTTTCTGCAAACCTCAGTAACAGCTAGCACTTATATAGATTTGCAAAGTACTTTACATACACCATCTTATTTGATCCTCAACAACCCTGTAAGGTAGGTGCTGCTATTATTGCCCCCATTGGTGAGGTGGGGAAACTGAGGTAGAGAAACTGGCTAAAATTATTTGCCCAAGGTCACATAACTAGTAAGTAACTGAGGCAGGATTTGAACCTGGGTCTTCCTGCCTCCAAGGCCAACTCTACATCTACTCTGCCACGGCGCCTCTCAAATAAAAAATCATTTATTAAAAATAATTGGCTTAGGGGCAGTTAGGGAGCAGAGTGGATAGAGCACCGGCCCTAAAGTCAGGAGGACTTGAGTTCAAATCTGGCCTCAGACCAAACAGTTGATATTTACTAGCTGTGTGACCCTGGGCAAGTCACTTAACCCCAATTGCCTAAAATAATAAGAATAATAATAATGATTGGCTTAAAGAGGAAAACAGAAGGAAACTGAGATATATGTGTGTAAGTTTTGTTTTCATTTCCATTTCCTTTCTGCTACAAAGTGTGGCCGACCTTGTGTCAGTTTCCTTTCCCCTTCCAAGGAGACAAATATTTGGAAAGAAATGTATTTGGGTTTTATTTCAAACAAGGGAAAATTCTCATTTTTAAGACTGGTGATCTCCATCCCTTGTACACTCCCCACCCTGGGTCTTAAGGACCATCTCACCGAATCGCTGTCTGTGGTGATGGTAGTGGGCTCCATGGGTTCTTCCTTCTTGCTCTCTTTCTCCAGGTTAGCAGCTTCAGAAACTGTGGAAGAAGGGACATCTGATCAAACTTGTAAAGAGGCCAAGAGCACCTGAGGGTGACCTTTGTCACTGACTGTAAAGCATCCTACAAATCGGGTCTGCCTGGAACTCTGTCCAGCTACCAAATTGCCAGGGCTCCCAGAATGAAGTGTTCTCACTGAGCAGGCCAGGGAAGGGATGGGGCAGCCTTAATGGCAGGGCTTTAATACCTGTGCTTGCTTCTCCCTCTAGGACAGTGTCATCTGGCAGAAAACATTGTAGGTCTTGGGTTTGAGTCCAGATTCTGACATCTTTGAGTGGGACAACTCTAATTGTAGTTTGTTTGTTTTCTCACAAGAATACAAAATTTGCCTCCCTGGAAGTTCCATTTATTGCTTCTTGTTCTGCATTTTTGGGCCAAGCAGAATAGAGCTAACTCCTCTACCACAAGCCAGCCCTTCAAACACCTGGATAGCTATCACACCTCACTCTCCCTCCCAAGTCTTCTTTTTTCTCCCAGGCTAATAACCCCCAGTTCTTTGCTTACAGGCTGCCTCATTACTATTTATCCAGGGTGCTCTGGATCACCTTTACCTTTCTCCTTGGTGACTCGCACAAACAGAGCCTGGAGTTTGGCCTTACAATCTTCAAATTCTTCCACCTTGACTGAGGCTTGGAGGGTCATAGGCTTCTCCTTATTGAGGTGATCCAGAGCTTCCCGGATGAAGGTGTGCATATCCAGGACCTCTTGGTCTGAGGCGTAATGCTGCAGTTTTTCCACCAAGAGCTCGCCATTATGGATACGCTGAAGCATGCTTTTCAGGTGCCGAAGCCTCCCCGCCATCTGCTCATGGCTCTGCTGGTACTGACCCTCCACCGTCTCCAGGAGCTCCTTCTCCTTGGCCTGGATCTGCTCCACCATGACTTGGACCTGAGAATGGATCAGCTCCTTGGTCTCCTTCTTCATCTGTTCCAGGTGACTGATAGCCATCTGGATCTTATCATGGGCATCCGTGAAGGTCTGCTCTTGGGTTTTCAGGTCCCTGGTGATCTTAACCAGCTCCTCCTGCCGCAGTTGGATCTCGGAGCTAATGGCACAATACTGGTCCTTGTGGCTGCTGTCCAAGAGAGCACAGGTGCAGCAGATGGGCTTGGCACACCCTCGGCAGTAGATGCTGTGGAAATTTTAAAAAAAATCGGGGTGGCATATTTGAATCTGAGAGTCTTAGACTTGAAACTGGAAAGACAAGAGTCTGGGTCACCCTTGTACCACTAATTGTATGATCTTTAATAAATCATCACATCACAGGTCACCTAATCTGACCTCCGGCCAGAAGCATAAATCTTACCTATAGCATCTTAAAAAGGTGGTTCTGTTGGAAGACCTACCATTCTAGAGAACTTATTACTTACTAAAGCAGCTCATTCCATTCTTGGGGATTTCTTCATCTCTAAATGGAGGCATAGAATACCTGCCCTGTCTGGTCTCAGAAGCTGGTTTTTATTCGTTTTTGGTGGAATCCCATTAAGATAATGGATCTAAAGTGCTTTATAATGCCCAAGCCCTCTATAAGTGTAAACTGATTGCTTTTGAGGCCCAACGGTTCAACATGAACTAGGGAGTTCCTAACATGGCGCCCCAAGGATCTGTACTTGGTTCTGTGCTGTTTGACATTTTATTTTTTAATCAATAACGCAGATAGAGGCATAGATGGTAGTAAAAATGGGAGAGAAAGAGAGAGATCTCTGGTCTGAGAACTGGGTTGAAGGTTGGCACAGATCATGTCCTTCCTTCCAAAGGGGTAACTGATTGGTCCACTGTCACACAGTGAACTACTTAGAATTGGGACTAGAACCCAGGTCTGACTTGCCGTCTAGTGGTCATGAAATTGTATACAAATTCTCTGAAAATGGGTAACCTATGTAAAGAAATGTGAAGGGTTAACTCCCACTATGTAACAACAGCATGTCATATAAGCCAATTGTGCTTTAAAATAGTATGTAACACCTCCCCTCCAAAATATGGCTCCCTCAGAAAGTCAGGTTGCTGAGATATGCTTAGTCATCTACTCTGGGGAAGGGGGATATTCACCTGGTTCACATCATATATCTCCATTTTTAAAAGGCAAAGGGAAGACACAAAGAGAGGATAGATGCTTCAGCATGCCCTAGAATGGAGCCTGCTCTAATCTAGGAGGGGGAGAAGGAAGGAGGGTAGCTCTATGTGGGAAGAAATTTTCTCACAATCAGAATCGTACACAAGTGGAACGGGCCTCTATGGGAGGAAGTGGATTCCCTGTCCCTGGATAACCAGGGGCATGTGGGGACTGCTGAAGGGATTTCCAGCTCAGACAGAAGCCAGCCTACATATTATCTGACATCTCCTCCAAGCTCCAGAGGAAGCCTGCTCCAGACAGGCAAGAGAGAGCTCTGAAGGCAGGCTGGCTTGAGAACAGAGACAAACCAGGTGAATTCAAAATGGAATTCTCAATAATTTTGTTAAAAGCAAAGTAATGTCAAGAATGGTAATGAAATATTGGGATTTTGACTGATTAACACTGTTACGTTTTAAGGGTAGGCACAGGATGGACCAGGAATGAAGGGCTGCCATCTGCATCGCAGGAGAGAACTCCCCAAACAAGGAGGCAGACTTGAGCATATGAAGGAATAAAACTGAGAGAAAAGGTTAAGGTGGAGACAGACCAAGTGAGGCTATTATAGTTAAGAACTGATGGTGTGTGTGCATTTTTATGGTCAGAAGGTTATGTTATTTGTTTCATCTATTTTTCTTAAGGAGTAAATCTAATTTGTTTTTGTCTGTCTACCTATCTATTGATCTACTCTCTATCAATCTATTTACCTTTCTATTGATCAATCTCCCTATCCCTCTTCCTACCTTTATCCATCAACCTACTTATTTATTTTTATTTTTAAACTATTTTTTTTATCAAATATCTATCATCTATCTGCCTACCTATCTATTGATCTATCTATCTACCTATCAATCTATCTGTGGATTGATCTACCTATATCTACCTATTTATCTTTTTCCCCGTCTATCCATCTATCACCCACCTATCTACCTATCTACTTATTTTTCATCTCTCTATATATCATCCTGCCTATCTACTTATCTATTTCCCTACTTATCTATCATCTATCTTCCCATCTATCCACTTATCTATCATCTACCTATCTATCAGCTAGCATTTATTATCTTTGTTTCTTATTGTTTAGTTGTTTTCAGTCATGTTCAATTCTTTGTGACCCTGATTTGGGGTTTTCTTGGCAAAGATACTAGAGTGGTTGGCCATTTCCTTCTCTAGTTCGTTTTACAGATGATGAAACTGAGGAAAACGAGGTTAAGTGATTTGCCCAGGGCCACACAGCTAGTAAGTATCTGAGGCCAGATTTGAACTCAGGAAGATGAGTCTTCCTAACTCCAGGAGCTTTATCCACAGTACCAGTAGCTGCCCATCTATTATCTACTTATCCATCTATAACCTGTCTACTTACCTACTTATCTGTCATTCATTTATCTATCATCTACCTGTCAGCTATCTATTATATATCTACTTATCATCTACCTATCAGCTATCAACCTATCATCTACTTATCTATCTACCTACCTATTTATCTATCAATCACACATCTACCTAGTTATCTATCATCTACCTATCTGCTATCATATATTATCTATCATCAATCTATTTATCTGTCTATAACATATTTATTGACCTATGCATATCTACTGATCTATCTATCCATCCATCATCTACCTACCTATGTATCTATTGATTGATCTACCCATATCTATCTCTACCTACCTATCTATCCATTAACTCTCTCTCTCTCTCCCCTGACCTATCTATATCTATCTATCCATCTATCATCCATCTACCTATTTATCTATCATTTACCTATCAACTATCACCTATTATCTACCTACCTTTCTATCATCTATCTATCCATCTATTTATCTATTTACCTATCATCTATTTATCTATAATCTGTCTACCTACTTTATCATCCATCTACCTACATATTTACCTACTTATCAATCATCTATCTATCCAATCTACCTATTGATCAATTAACCTATCTATTACTCTACAATCTCTTTCTCCCTTTGTATCTAAGTATCTATCTGTCTATCTATCCATCTGTCTGTCTGCCTCTATGTCTATTTATCATCTACCAAGTCCTCGGTACCAAGTACTCAGATACTTCATTAGGTGTGGAAAGGACCCTGATTTCTCGGCAGTGGAGTGCAAGCTCTGGCAGATTCTACCATGTGGGAAAGGCTTTGCATACGGTCCCAGAGACAGATCAGTCTTCTTTGCAGGCTGGGTGCTTAGTAATGAATTCTCTAGTCCATGGTGACCCATGGACCAAGAAAGGCACAAAGGGTCCTCCAGCCTTGTGTGGCTGGCTTCTGTGGTCAGTGGCAGTGGTGGACAGAGGCATACAGGATGCTAAGGGTCACACAGTCTTCAGACTGTCTAGAAATATTGACTTAGTAGTGGGTAACCTAAATATGAGCTCTTGCTTAGTGACCAAGGAGGGAACACACCATCCCTGGAGGAGCTCAATCATATTCACCTCAGTAATCTTGTTATAAATGAACAAAGAGGAACAAAGGAAGGCATGCCAAGAGGCTCATGAAGGCTGTTCTTGGAGAGGCAAATAAAGGAGTTGGTGCAATTGGTTCTATCATGTATCCAAGGACAATAACAAATAGCATTTCACAGGACATCCGGTCATCTCCTACTAGACAGCTGTGTTACACATTAGCAAGAAGACCTCTATGAAGATAACTGCAGATTACAAATCGACATCTACCAGACCATGCAGAAATGGACAAGTTCTTTAAAGAACTTATTAAGACCCTACAGATTAAATCAATTTATAGTAGACAACTTGGCCACTTGAATGCAAAGAAAGGCAAAAGGGAGGATGGTGGGAAAAAAATACACAGGAGAACAAGCTTTAGGAGTAAGAAACAAGAGTGGTCAAAAAATTAGACACAATACAGAAGTCTGACAATATTTTTGGTAAAAAAAATTTTATAGACAAACTTGGTCCCAAAGAAGAGATATGAGAAGCCACTTAAGTCCACTCCTTTGCAGAGGTGGGGGGCGGAAAATCTATGGGTGTGGAACATTGCATATGCCAGATTTTTCCAATGTACTGAGTAGTTGCATGTATTTTTTTTCCCTTCCTATTTGTTTTTTTAAAAATTACTTGTTATAAGAGATGGCTCCCTGGAGGGGAAGGAGTAAAATACAGGTGTAAATCTAAGCTCTGGAAAAACAAAACAAATCAATAAAAATTATTTTAAATAAAAATAATTTTTATTGATATCTTTTGCATTTATATCATTTACATTTCCCAACACATTCTTCACCCCATTCTCTTTGAGAGAGCTATCTTTTATAACAAGGATTTTTCACATGGGGGAAAATCCCAATTAATTAAAACCAATCAATATCTAGAAAAAAGTCTGATATTATATGCCATGTTTCACACCCACAAAGTGAAGAAAAATCCTTTCTCATATCACTTCTTTGAGACCAGCTGGGTCATTATGGTGTCATAATGTTTAGTTCCTATTGTTTTACTGTTGTTCATTTCATTACATTGTTGGAGTCATTGTATATACTGTTTTCCTAGTCTGACTGACTTCATTTTGTATCAGTTCGTATGAGTCTTTTCATGTTTCTCTGTATGTATAACAATTAGCATTTCTTACAAGCATAGTAGTACTCTATTGCATTCACTTGCCACAATTTGTTTAGCCATTCCCTAACCTATGGGCATCTACTTTGTTTCCAGCTCTTTGCCACAACAAAAAAGCACTGCTATAAATATTTGTGGTGTGTATGGGGCCTTTGAGGACTTTTCTTTAATTACTGACTTTCCTGGCCCATAATCCTAACAGTGGAATTTCTAAGTCAAAGGGCAGGGATACTTTGGTCACTTACATCACACAATTTCAAATTGGTTTCAGAATTGATATATCATGAATATTTTTTTCAAGAAAAGAGCTGGTAAACTGGGTGGTATTAGATGTGTCAAGTGTCAAATAACATCATAAAAAATAAAAATGATTACATTTTAACTGCTAGAAATAATTAGTTACCGATGAGTTGTTTCTGTATCAGCTGCCTATGTA